AAAAAGGTTGCTTAAAGTAACCGAGTTTATTACGTCCAGAAAACGTGTTTCACGGAAGTTGGCATATTGTTTCACTGCTTCGGTCGAATCGTAACCCTAATATGAACTGAGGCACTGGCAGTTTAGATGTCTTACTATTACTTAGTTGTCTTACTATTCACGGATAGTTTTATGTCCGCTCAACTATGTAAAAACTTTATTAACTCAAAAAAGAAATGTCACATTATCTATTCTATTCTATTCTGGATGTTCGGTTTGGTGGGGCAAATCCGCCACTGAGAGGGCGAAATCCCGGCATTTTTTAAACAGTGAACGAGGCAGTATTTGGATACAAGTAATGACATCATCGCTAAAAATAATGAAATTCAATTTGTTACATTTGTTACAAGTGGTATAGACCACAGGAACGTCATACTCTTTGTGTTTTTTTCTGGTTAGCTACAGAACTAGTAAGAAACTTGCAGGTTGTGTCAATAATGATTAGGGCCAGAGGTCATATGAAACTGTTTCCCAGGATTCCATGGGAGATTCAGACGTCACGTTATTATGCAAATGAGCCCGCTATATATAAACAACGATGTATCAATATTTTGTCTACTTTGTATCAATACACTTTAGAACATTTCATCTGCCGGTAACCGAAACAAACAAAGACTGATACCACGACCACCATGCATGACGGATAGAATCTGGAGATTTCAAGCAAATATAATATAAAAACGGTGATCAAGATGGATAGCCAGGAAACAGGGGAACTTGACATCGACTGCGACGATCTTTCAAGGTTAGACATTTATTCAAACGGTTTAGTACTACATTGTAGTAGTGTTATCGCGCGCTTTCACGTCGTCTGCACTGGTGAAGTGACCGTGACGATGGTTGCCGATTTTGCCAGTGGAGTTCAACATTCTGCACCAACGCACGTCCGTCCATACGAGGGTGTTTGAAGTATACTTTCTCAGGATTGGAGACACCTTTGATGCGTTAGAATAATTTGATATTATCGATAGTTTTCCGATATGCGGTCTCTGTATGTTACCGTCGAACTGCGCCGGGCTGGCACGGCTTCAAGATCTAGCGCCAGACACTGTAGTACTCCTAAGCCACCCGTGGACTCTCCCTCGATGTTTAATATTGTAGGCATTGGCGCCCCTTTAATCCAATCACAAACACTTTCAATCTCTTATTTCCGAACTTTTCAAAATGCCTGGTGAGGTTCAGCATGAACACTTATTTGTACAGGGTTTCAACGGAGCCTTGGTAGCCACATGGTTCCGGTGACTAAAAATGTAGTACGATGTCCACGGTCGACACGACCGTGACCACTTCCTACTAGTACTCGTACTTTCGTAAATTCTTCTCTAGCGATGATGTTTATACATGATCGACCACAAAGGCGAATGAACGAAAAATAAATAAATAAGACGTCGAAAGTAGAAAGGAACTAATATCAGCCATGGTGCCAATGTGCTCAGGCGAAGCGTATATTTGATTAGCCCACCGTCCCTCAACACGGTGTTGAGGGACGGTGATTAGCCGTGGGTTCGCGGCGTTTTGAGTAATACCTTCCCGGCCCAATATTTGATTGTTTATTGTGTCTTATTCTGCGCTTACCAGATGCACTTGAACTAGTAGTATAGCTTATTCGGTCAGTTCGCATAGTTATCATAGTCGTAATAATAAAATATGTGTGGAAATGGCTACGTTCAAAAGTTGCATGTACAAATATAGAAACCCAGGGAATTTTACGCAAGTGTTTCTTCTCAATATGGTACGCACTAGTATGATTTTTTAAATTTCATGTAAGTTGTCTATTTTTTTACTTGCCGATATTCAGTTTTCCATATACTGGTATCGTATTTCGAACGATAAATGAGAAAAGAAACCTGGTATCGTATTTCGAACGATAAATGAGTACTGTGAGCAAATAACACCGAATAAACGGGAAGGTAAATACTACATCAAATTATAGTAAACACGTACTGCGTGCGTGACTCGAACCGGCGCTCGCGTACGGCACCAAATCGCCTAGCTTCACGCCACTACACGTCTTCCCCTCGGCCACCTTAAAAACATCAAATATTTGTCATAATAATTTGCTTTTTTTAACTGACAGATGGATAGAAGACAGTGATGAAATACCCAAATATCTGATGGATGATTGTCCACTTGATAAAGATTGTTTTGATGATAAAATTGGAACTAGGATCATTACAGGTACTAGTATATATTCTGTATTAAGATGGGTATTTAAATATATCTCATAGAGAATAAGAAATGTTACACTATATAATCACAGAAATATCGTAAATTGCCAGTATTTGCAGCAATGAACTCAATCAACAAAATAAGACAGCAATCAACAGCCATGGTACTAGTTTTGAATGGACGACATTCACAGGCATTCAACCATTCAATTCATTTATAGGAGGGAAAGAATTGTTAATTTTGATCTTTTTTTGATGTCTCATTTGTGATACAGTGATATTTTGTGTTAGTAATATTTTGTTTTGTAATATTATTTTACAAAAGTTTTGCTTTTTTTTTTACATAAATGTTTTTTTTACCTGTCCGCTCAGGTGTTTCAGATAAAAATAGTAGCCATTTAGAAGACATTATCACAGGTGAACAGAAAGAGAACACCTGTAACAATGATGAAACTGAAGATGACTTACTTGAACAGTTCATTGAATTGAGTGATAACCGTCATTCTGATGAAGCATTATTGGGTATCATTGATGAGGGCGCTATTGCAGCAATAAACAATATAAGTATGGACCCTGCATCAAATGAACCTGATTTGCTGCTGTGTAAGCAAAAAATGGTTAAAAGAAAATTATCTGAAGTTAGCCAATCAGAAGACAGCACATCTGTGATGTCATCTGATAGTGGCACCCAATCAGCGGAAAACTCGCCTTATCAGTCACCTTTTCACAGGAAAGCTTTTTTCCTGCCGAAGCAGAGCAATAAAACCTTCCCAGTTTCTCACCTTGACTGGGAAACAGAACTGAGGACCTCCAGAGAAAAGAAGCGTCAGGAAATTTTATGGAAAGCATTTGAGAAACTGAGATCTAAATTGCCTGAATCTGACACTTCAAAGGAGATACAAGGTAGGAATAATTGGTGAACAAAAAATTGTTAAACCTAGGAATGGAATGCTCAATCAATGTGTTTCTCAACTAATAATTAACCAATTTGAAAATTGAAACATTTGAGGACTTTGGTCCTTGTACATACATGTCTGTACATATACATATACATGAAATACAGTACACCATGTACTAGTTTGAGGAGTTGGCTGGTGAGTGATTAAAACATTGCGTCATTATCAAGGCAATATCTTTTAATTAATTTTTCCGTCTTAAATCTGCCTGTCTGGTATAAGTCGACAAGCCTAAATTTGAATTAATCACCAAAGAAAAATTAAGTTAATCTCTGATCCATTTGTTTTATCGGTGTTTTTCAACCTCGGAAAAAAACTTCACATGCCATCATGTTGTGTTACGTGTTATGCTAAGTTATTACTAGTTTAATTTCATCACTTTTGTTCCACTATAGAAAACAGTGAGACAACTCAGATTGCTGTTCTACAAGCTTCATTGAAGTATATACAATTATTGCAAGATATGTATTTTGAATTAACACAAATCAGCGATAGAGAAAATTGTGAAGCTAGTGCCAGTGATTCAACTGAAGCTGCTACAGCGACTCAAGGTAGATATTAAATATCCAATCAGAATTACAAATTCACATATTTGTATTTTACATCTTGTCTTTCAGTTTATTCTTCAAAAAACATACAGGAAACAATGTTCAGTATGCTATTATCGAGTTTGGGACAGAAACTCATACTAGTAATTCGGCCTTTGTGGGTGTTATTGTGCAGGCATCAGTGCCAAGTAATATTTTAGAATCCTGTATATTATTTGCAAGTGGGACAAAGACTATATGTACAGTAGCTTCTAATTCATCTTTTGTTTAATTTCAGACGACTCATCAGGTGACAGAGATACCTAAATAAATTCACAGCCAAAACTTACAGCCGCATATCCAGAAGACTGACTTTAATTTGGCAACTCATTTTCAGATATTCCTGAGAAAACTAAACCTTTAGTTTAAACAAACATATTTTATAATGGATTGTATTGTTTTGGATTGCAAAAGAGTAAGCTATTTTTTTAAAAACTTTCCAGGTTTCTATCATAAATAACAATTTAAACAATATTTCAGTTGATACTATATTTTAACAAGCCAGCTAATAATTACAGATTTTGTATGAAGTGACAGTTCAATTTTCTAGATATTACTATAAATCATGGCTTTATTCATAATTATCAGTTCTTATGGTCTGAGTGTTTTTAGTTTGAAAGAGTAACCATGCCTGTAATGTAGACAATCATAGCAAGACAGAGAAATGATGTTTCTTTGTACAGTGAAGTAACATTTCCCCTCAATTGTACCTGGATTATTTCCTTACTTGTTCAAGTTATTATTTCCCAGTGTGTTTTGTCATACTTGCCTGTTTATTCAAATCTGGGCTATATCTGTATATATTGAAAGTCCTTTTAGTCATTTGTATATAGAGTAGTACTATTTTAGACAAGTTCAATTTAAGAATGATCAACTCTAGAAATAATGCAAGGATATTCCGTGAATTTTCCTAATTGTTGGTAATGTAAATGAAGAAAACCAAACTTATTGGGGGTGTTACATCCGGGAGATTTGTTATATGACATGTTTTGTGTTAGGTGGAGAAAAGAAATAACAGTAACCACTTTGTTTGTGTATCTTGATTTGTAATGTTGCTTATGGACTACCACAATAAATTCATTTTTGTCATTACACTTTACTGATTTATTTTTATTTAAATCGAAAATAGTGCTGTGATATAGTTCATTTTTAACACCCTTTCGTGGCTTTGTACATTCAGATACACTCGTTGAAATTGCGCCATCAGGGGAGAGGATAACGTTTCGAAGTAAAAGATTTTCATATTCAACCCATGAGGGCACATTGGCTGCAACTCATTCGCCTCGGTCTCTTTTTACCTCTATGGTCCACTGAAAGAAGTGTTTGAGGTTTGGCAGAACAAAAGCAGCCGTCAAATAGTGTGTACATGCTGTAATTTAACGTGCACCCCAATCAAACGTATTTTGTTATACCGTATACAAATTCGAAGTTGGAAGAAAAAAAATCGCTTCCTTTCTTTAACCATGCTTTAACTGAAGCGTGTTAGGGGGCCTGATTGTTCATTCAAGATGTCTGCACCCAATGTGAGTCAGGTGAGTTCGGTGTATTTAGCTTATCTAATAGTCCGTAAGTGTAAGAGGAGCAATAACGTGTGGTAAGAACGTAACGTACGGTAAGAACTCAAGAGAGTTCGGAGCTGGGGATATTATACTTGTATGTCTAGTTGAAATTTGCTGCAGCGTCGTGCGTTGTGCCACGGTGAGACTGGGAGCTTGACCCCAGCAGTCTCCGCCAGTATCCCAACGCTAGCGTACCAACGCAGGTCAACTGAGCACTCGACAGTGAGCTGTCCACGCATATTTGATGTGTAATAATTTTACCAAATATGAGAACAGTGTCTCTAGTTATAAGTTGTATGGTTGCTCTATTTTGCGGCACAATTCAAACAAGGGATGAAGCATTTATAAACCTTGCGAGGGGAGTAGCCGTAAGATTAACTTTCTGGGATTAGTTTTGAATGCAAAATCCAAAGAAACAATGAAAATTTTGAAAAAAAAGTCTGACTTTGCTTAAAAAAAAGGTTGGCCAGTGGTATTTTTGTAAGCTGTAATCTATTGTTTTTATTTTCGTAAAAATGTAATTTAAATAAATAAAAATCGTAAATTCGAAGATATGGGCAAGGTGTAAAATGTAATAAGCTATTTTATCCGTCTGTAATTTGACAAAGATCTTATTTTTTGTAAGTGCATAAAGCATTTCCCACATTAAATGTCGCAATTCGTACGCAATTTACAATTTTGATTTTTAAACACAAATTATCAACTATATTATAAAAATGTACAATGTAATTTAACTTGCTTTATCTGTAAAGTGTAAAAATCTATATTTTACTGTAAATGAAACTTTCATTTTATTTCCTGTTAAAACGTAAAATGCCTTTTTTATTTCCTGTAACCTGTACCAGCTATCCTCCCTTGCCTCCCTTAAAACAAAGGTTGGGCATAAAAGTAATATTATTATCACTGTTTGATGATATAATTAAACCAATCCTAGTTTATGGGAGTGACATTTGTGGACACAAAAGCACATATCGATGTAAAAGATGTTCATCTCAGTCTCTTGTGGTTCATACTTTGAATGAAAAAAAACACCCCCAAAAACAGCTGACAAAATACGATGTTGTGTTATAAATTTATCAAATAAAGCAGCTTTAGTTAAAGGGGAACCGCTCAATCCCATGGATTGCACCAAGTGCTCATGGGTAAATAACTCCGCCTCTGTCCCGCTAATCTCACGAAACAACAACTGATATAAACATCCTTTTGAATGGATTACAATTTGCTTGTTTAAATATAACAATAATGAATTGAATTTCAAACCAGTACACGTTACTTTGTTCGGTCATTTGCGTCAAACACAGAGCTATATGCCATCAGTGTTCTCCCCAGACTTCATGTCAAGCATCACGGCCAATTTGCATAACAATGCATCTAATTTGCATAATTTTTATTTGCATAGTAATCAGTTTTTCCCAACAAATATTGTCAATCTACAATTAATTAAAGACAAGATATTTTTATATCTGATAAATTTTATATCATTTTACTGCATTGTATTTTATGTTTTTGTATCAAGTCAAATAAAGTTTGAAATGGAACATCATAAAAAGGAAAAAAATTGAAAAACTTGTGTTATTGCCAGTCAGTGAATATACTGTTATCCATGGATGTAACTGGTTCATCTTTGTGTATAAGTTTTTAGAGCCCATGTCAATGTCGGTTCATAAAAACGTCAGGGAATACATTTTTTGGTTAAATTTATAAAGTCGGCAAGATATCGAAATATGTTGAAATTAATAAATCAATAATTAAAAAAAAATTCTACAATGGCAGTTCGGCGATTATTTTTCATTGCAATATACCTTGTGAGTACAACGCTACAATCACCGTAACATTGTCAGCTGGCGGCATTGCGTTGGACGGGTATTCACCGCTGCTATTCCGATCATCGGTATCTGA